TATCATCACCATAATAATTCTGATCTCTTAATATGTGACGAGTTCAATTATCAGCAGAAGCAGAAGAAGTAAATTTACATTAGTGAGCTTCGACTCATTGTCCCATCATAGCGAGCTGACCAGACCCACAGGCCTACATGCCACAGGCCCCCAAGAGACCAGAGGAGAGGAAGAGATGGAAAGAAAGAGAGAGAAGGAGGAGACAGGTCAATATGAGAGAGGGAGAGGAAGCTATAGACACTGATAGCATAGAAATTAGTGATAGAAACAGAGAGAGAGAGGGCTACAGAGCAGAGTGGGAGCAAGAGAAAAAGAGAGAATGACTGAGACAGTGGATACAGAGATAAAAGAGTTAGTGAGAGCGAGAACTATACATAGAGGAGGATAGATCTCTGTAATGAGAAGCAGAGACAAGTAATAACAGAGAGACAGAGAATTAAAAGACAGAGAGGGAGAGTGACAGAGACAGAGGGATAGAAAGATGGAAATAGATGCAGAGAGGGAGGGAAGATGGATATAGAGAAAAAAAGAACAGAGAGTAGAGAGAGGATTTGATATAAATATAGTGATAGAGAAGGTGAGAGAGAGAGGGGTAGGCATATAGAGACAGAGATAGAGACATAAAGATAGAGCAAGAGAGAATTGGAGATAGAGCAAGACAGAGAAAACGATAGAGCTAGAGAGATAAAGGATATATCTGGGCACATCGAGTGTGATCAAGTTAGGAAGATAGAGATAGATATACAGAAACAGAGGTAGATATTGACAGAAAGTTAGAGATATATGCATATTTATATTTTATTTTATTTTTGGTTTATTGTGGTAGCATTGATTTATAACATTGTATAAATTTCAGGAGTACATCATTATACTTCTATTTCTGCAAGGATTACATTATGTTCTCATTTTCACCACCCAAATACTAATTACAATCCATCACCACACAATGCATATTTATATACATATTGTTACAAATTGTATTTTATATATTATTACACATTATTTATATATATGTATATATTTTATATGTTTTAATATTATATAAATTTCTAACACTCTGTTTCTGTCATATATATTCTCTTTCTATTTACCTATATCTATCTATCTACTTATCTATCTTAAGAAGAAGGACCAGACCACCCACTTCCAAAGAATTGGCCATGAAAACCATACGAACAGCACTGGAGCATTGTCTGACATAGCGCTGGAGGATGAGAGGATGGCATAAAAAGACTAGGTAGGGTTCCACTCTGCTGTACACGGGATTGCTAGGGGTTGGAATTGACTCTGAGGTACTAACAACAAATCTATCTATCTGTCTGTCTATCTATCTATCTATCTATCTATCTATCTATCTATCTATCATCTATCCATCCTTCTATCTATCTATCTACCTATCTATCTATCTATCAATCAATCAATCTATGCATCCATCTATCTATCTACCTACCTACTTATCCTATTCCACAAAAGGCTGTATAATAAATACGCCAAAACACAGTGGCTTAAAGCAACCATCATTTGTTAATTCTCACAAGCCCATTGATCAGCTAGGCTGCTCTGCTGATCTGGCCAGGTTCAGCTGATCTCTCTTGGACTTGGTCACATGTTAGTCAACTGATGGGTTGGCTGGGGGCTGGCTGGTCAATGTGGCCTGGGCTGGAATGAATCAGCTCTGGTCTAGGTGGTATTTCATCCTCCAGCTGGCCAGCCTGGACTTGCTCTATGACAATGGTGGGGGTCCAAGAGAGCTAGCAGAAATGCATAAGGCCTCTTGAGGCTTAGACTTGGAACTGGAACCCCACAACTTCCTCCCATATTCAAAAATGGGGAGACAAACTGCCCCTCTTGACTGAGGAGCTGTGAATCCACATTGCAAAGAGTGAGCTCCAGGCTGGAAAATTTGCAGTGAGCACACTTGGCCCTGTGTCTCTCATTGAATGCAACTATACTCCCTGACTCTGAGGACTCTGAGCATGGAGAGAATCCTGGTGGCTTTTGTCCTCTCTTTATCCTCTCCCAGCTTCACCTGTAAGTCAGACACAGTTGCAGGAAATGGACAGCAGAGCAGGTGTGCTAAAGCCACACTAACCGGGCCAGAGGGCGGGAAGTGGGACCCCTGTCATTTGGAAAGTGTTGTAGAGATTGCAGAGGAGAGAGTTTAAGAAAGAAATCTCATACAATGGTTTGAACAACTGGGTTTAACTTCTAGCGGCACAGGCATAGATATGACCCTAAACAGCCTACCCAAGGCTTTGCAAACTGATCTAGGGGTAATCCATTGCCCAGGTCCTAGACTGGCCCCTGGGTGGTGCACACAGGACAGATCTGAGTAGTACTATAAAGGCTTTGAAAACCACAGTGATTGGAACTGCCCACCAAAAGCAGGTGGGAACTTGCAACCCCTAACTGGGTCAATTGCCTGCCAACAAGAAACTCAGCATTCCCATAGTATTTAAACATTGCCTAGAGCCCCTAATGTAATATTCAAAATGTGCAGGACACAATCCAAAATTACTCAATATATGGAAAACCAGGAAATCGCAACATTTTGATATGGAAAAGCCATTAACAGATGTCAGTCTTGAAATGACACAGATGTTGGTATAACAGAGAATTTAAAGTAGCTGTTATGACCATGGGAAGAAATGGAAAGAGAGGTAGAGATAGACATAGAATGTAACATAGATAAGAGAGAGAGAAACAAAGCAATTGAAAAAGAAAGATAAGTAGTAGAGATAGGCAGAGAGATACAGACGGAGAGAAGTGTAGAAAGATAAGGTGAGAGATAGTAAGGAAGAAGAGAGACTAAGAGAAATAGAGAAGGAGAAGGAGACAGAGCTGGAAAGGGAGACAGAAAAGCAGAGAGGGATGGAAAGCAATAGGCAATAGAGAGAAAGGGTTGTGGACCTAGAGATGGAGAGATGGAGGGATATGAAGAGCGATAGAGAAAGCAAAGGGATAGATAGAGAAATGGAATGGTGGAGAATGAAAGAGAGGCAGTGCAACAGGCAGAGCTATACAGGAATATATGGAGTCATCTAAGTCCAGGACGTCATTAGGGTTGCATAATGGTAATTTCCTAAGTTTCATATTTCTCCTGCATTTATTGGCTGTAATACTTGCATAAAGAAGCACTTTCCTTCATAAGCTCTGTATCCTGAAATACAGTTTGTACAGAAATGGCAAGATAAAGGTTTGATTCTTTTTTTTATTTGTTTTATAATGTTCTTTTAGTGAGAAATCGTATTTGATGCTAAAATATGGATGCTAGGAGAGCTCATTACTTCTGATTTCTTATTGCTTTCTATTTTTTCAGTAGATAGCTAACAAAATAAGGATTTTTTAGAAAAAAGATACAAATTATAGATAATAAGGTTTTTACTATACTTCCAAAATTTTACATTTGCATTTTCCCTCATACTGAAATCTTGATTCTGTTAGGAATCAAGTTAGGTATCAACATAATTTATAAAAATATAAATATAAACAATATTATAATTACCATTAATTATAGATGCATTAATTTAGAAGATGCAATTTAAGCTTTTTTTTTCACTTTTTCTCTCCCCTCCTTCCTCCTTTCTTGTTTTTCTCTCTCTCTCTGTCTCTCTCAGGGTACCTTGTGTTCCATGAAAATATTCATGTGCCAATAGTGGCCTCTTTTCACTGTTGTAGCTCTATAGTTCTTTTTACATTCTGGTGGAGTAGTTTTCCTATTTTACTCTTTTACGAATTTTCTTTCCACTCTAGTGTGATGGCATTTTCTCCTTTCTGAGCTGTAACCATGACTCTGTCCAGCAGGGATGTTCTGGGACTCTGAGGCATTGAGCTTGCTTCCTGCATAGTGACCTGGAATGTTCTCTTGCAGAGCTGCTGCTGCGACCCCTCATGTCCCTGCACATGGAGTCCCTGAGGCAAAAGGAGGAACAGCTTGAGTCCCCTGCCTTTGTCATTCCCCAGCTGTCTGTTAGGAAAGGAGAAAATGAATCACCTGAGAGAGAGGCCAAAAAAATAATGGAGAGGCGCTGTGTCTACATTCTACTACAAATATTGTAAACATGTATCCAAATCCATTTACAAAAGTGGGGGCTCAGAATCTGTGTGCACCACTTCAATTCTCCCATCATTTCACTATTCTTGTTTGATCACCTATCTACCCATCTGTGAATCCAAGTAAATCGCAGATATGGGTACACTTCCTGAGGGGAGGCCGGCTAATGAAACACAGGATGCCTGAGGAAATCGGAATTACAGATAAACAACAAATGCTTTTTTTAGTTCAAGTGTGTCTCAAATATTGCAAAGCACCATGCACTTTTATTTTAACACTAAATTTGGCAACCCTATATGAAGTGGCCTTTTCACTTGAAGATGAACAGAAATCGTCTAACAAAATGACTTGTTGCCCGCACACACACACACGCACACCCATTTACCTTTAAGGAGAGTCAAATGTAGACCAACATAATTGATCTTAATTTCTTTACTAAAGTGGGCTCAGTGCTTATCAGCTTTGCTGTTGTGCCTCTACGTTGACTCACAGACGTGAAAAGTAAGGGGGTTCAGGGCAAGAATAAAGAAGCTACATCACAGGACAAGCCCACGGCAGCAGCGTGAACATGGAAACCCTGAGTGGCAGGACAGTTCCCCGACTCAGGACTGCTCCCTGCACTAGGGGACAGGCCAGCTTCATCCGTGCTTCTCCTGCCCACCCCGTGGGCTCCAGACTGTCCCTCCCTCTGTCCTGGGCTCTCAGGGCCCCTGGCCTCTCCTCTTCTGGAGAGGGCCTGCTCTCAGCCTGCCACAGGAGGGCTCTCAAGAAATGGGTGGGCAGAGAGGCAGGGCTCCTCCCCCGTCCTCCCCCAGCACTGCCCCCTCTGGCGATCAGCCTGGTGGTCTTCTAGGAGAGCCCCTCAGTCACTGCCCTGCCTGGGACGCTGTCCAGAAGCAGCTCTAACTCCCTGCCTCGTGTCCTGGGCTCACTGTCTTCTGAGCGGGACTGGAGTTCTGAGAGGGTGCTCTGCTCCTCCTGTCATCTCTCCCTTTCCTTCTGAGGCCAAAGGAGGAAGGCATGCTGCGGGCTCTAGCCCTCCTTCTAGCTTTCCTGGCTCCTGGTGAGTGTGCTGCCTAGATGCTCCGGGGAGTTTTCTTTTTTTTTTTCAATGGGAGGCCACACTAAGGAATTACTGTTACCTCTTCCTCATTACTTTTTGTTGTTCCCATAGCAGCCACTCAGATATCTTCCAACTTGGAAGGGAGAGAGATGTCCATCACCAGACAGGCTGGGTCATCTGCTGTAATCACTTGTGATATTAAACAAAGCAGCGACTACGTCCACTGGTACCGATACCGGGAGGGGATGGCCCCACAACGCCTTCTCTACTACCAGTTCTCCAGCTCAAAGGTTGTGAGTGAACCCGGAATCAGTTCATGGAAATACCAAGCTTATACAGGCACAGGAAGGACCTGTAAACTTTTAATCAAAATTCTGGAAGAAAATGATTCTGGTGTGTATTACTGTGCTGCCTGGGAGAGGCACAGTGATTCAGACCTCCCCTACACGGCACTAAAAATTTTGCTTGTGGCTGCCAAGAGCAGCCCAGAACACAGGATAGACCAGCCACAGCTTCAATTCCTGCCCTGACTACACTGTGCTCTGAACAAAGAGAGACCCTGAGCTCCATGCCCTACCCACACCCTTATATCTCACTGGCCCCCCGCCCCAATGAGCCATAGCACTTCCCTAGAGATGAATCTCCCATGTCCAGGCCTTAGGCAAACAGTCTGGCAGACAGCACGTTCTTTCAGCTCTCCTAGGAGCTACTGGAATCCAATTTAATTTGCTTCCTGTGACAGACAAGGTCACCTAGATTTGATGTGCTAGGGGAGACATTTAGGAGAGCAATATGGGAAGGTTTGGGGTACTGAATCATTTATCCAGAAAAAATGCTTGGGAAAGGAGCCCATGCATTTCTCAGGAGAATGAGAAATGATTGAATGAAAATCTTGGACTTCATGAAGACCTCAAGCTGGAATCTGATTTATCTTTGGACAAACTGATATTTCCCTCACCATAATCAGCCATGGCACTGTTGATACAGTGAAAGTGTAGGAATAAAGTGATTGTTGTAGAGATGCCAACCATTGTATTCTACTCACAGCTTCTTTTGAAGTTCAGCCACAACCAGAACGTTCTGTCTTAAACAAGTAAAGCCAAAGCTCCTTTCCACCCCTCCCCCAACATTGACATGGTCAGGTCCTAAAGTGGAATGAGTCTTATGAGATCATTTTTGTATCAGTGATTAGAATTAAGGGACATTTTGGGTGTACAAAAATTCTGGATTCACATGTGTCTGGTCTCTTGTGTATTGAATCCTCCAACTTTCTGCCGGATCTCTTCACCTTTACTGTAGCTTAGAGTTTAAGACCCTAGAACAGTGTTTCTCAAACTGTGGTCCATGGACCACCTGCATCAGAAGCACCTGGGAGGTTTGAATAAAAGTACAGGTTTGGGGTAACATCCAACAAAACAAATCAGAAATTTAGGTTGAAAGCTGAAAATGTGTGTTTTTCAATGACCTCCACACTCATTCTTACTCAAATTCATTTTTAAGAACTGCTGTCCTAGCAGTAACAGCTAGGGCAATGTGTCTCCCTCCCCAATGGGCCCGTTCCCAGCCTGACACAAGTTGCATTCTAGAAAGGTGCTCTTGGGCTTCCTCCCAACACACAAACCCCTCCTCTCTTATCACACACGCTGCTGCTCTAACAGGTCATCTCATTTCTCCATGATAATTCCACCACAACCACAGGTGGAAACTTCTGGTCCTTCTCACTTCTGTGACCTCAGGCAAGAAGAATTGTATCCTGAATGAACCAGCTCTAACTTGCTCTGCTGTACCAGGGACCACGTATTTCAACTATTTTGCAGCTTCCGAATGTTTATTTCTTACCTTGAAGTGTAAACACATTCTCATTTTTGTTTTTCTAATAGTGTTAAGGCATTGTTCTGCACATTTATTTCTTTGATCTGCTTTGAATTAAATTTTTGTGTACAGGGGTAAGGTGGGAATCTGAATGCAGAGATCCAATTTCTCCCCAAATTATTGAGTAATCCCTCTTTTTTCCCACTGTTTTTCATTGCTACCCTTGTTATAACTAACTTTCCATAGACTCATACTCATACAGCCCTTCCTGCTCTCTCTCTTCTTTCCACTGTATGTGTCCACCTACAGCTGTCTGTGTCTCTAAGGATACAGCTAGAGGTGGACTCACTGTGTGTGCACAACTTCACCTTTACAAATGGGGCTGAATCCCTATTTCGTCTATTCCTGTGCCAGGAACACAGTATACTAATTAGTATAGCTGTATAATAATTCTTGCTTTTTGGCAAGCAAGTTCTCTTGCTTTTTTCTTTCAAATTTTCTTGGCTTTATTTTACTCATGAATAAACCCTCAACATATGTACATTTACTTATTTATTAAGTAAGAAGTCATAATAACTCTGGTAAAAATTCATTGTGCATATTACCAAGCACACAAAAACATGAACAATTTAGAAATATGTGATAAAAACAAATACAAATAGTAGTTCTACCACTCTCTTCCCGCACACCAATATAGTGTCTTATGCACCCGCTTTGGAAACCACAGCACCACCAGCACCAATGCCAACAACACACTTCATTGTAAATTCTTCCTCTATCCTGACTTAGCACACATCCCTAGGAGAAATCATGCTCAAGGTCTTCTTTTTCCTTCAAAACAAATTCTCATAACCCCTTTATAGTGCACCTTTGTTTCATTCTCTGAATTCCTTCTGGGCTTATGATTGGACACGTGATGGTGTCTTTTCATGTTCTTTACAAAGAAGTACCCCCAAACCTGAGAAATCTTGGGCTTGCTCAGCTCTTTAAATAGACCTTTGTGATGAACGTCCAGGGAGCCCGACTTTCACAATCTGTTGACTGAGAATACTGGTGTGCGCTTCATAGAGTTTCATTACCTTCACTGGTTGTAAACATGGGGTTACTGTTGTGAAAGGGCCTGGCCCCACACCTGACGTGTCCTGGGTGCTCTGGATGAGGTTGTTGAGTTTGAGATGACAGGTTCACTGCATGAAAGGTGCTCACACTAGAACAGAGGGAGTGGGTGTTCTGATCCTGCCTCAGCTGCTCACGGTCTGTAATATTGAAGGAGTCACCTTCGTTTTGGGAGCTGTTTTCTCATCTTTAAAAATGAGAAACAATGAGACTTCTGGTAGGAAGGGTTCCTCTTTCGTCTTCAAGGGTCTAAGCTTCTGTGTTTCCTTAGCAAACCTATGACTTGATTTTAAAAATGGTATAACTAATTCTAATAAAAGGCAAATGATTTTTTGAGAAAAAATATTTACTCAACCCACAACGTTATAAAGATGTAAATTGGAGATAAAGGAAAGAAAATTGTATCCACAGTCCTATCATCAAAATATCTCAATGGCTTTCTCCTTTTTGGTTTTCCAGGCTTGTCCATTTCACTAATAATTGTCCTCATGTGTACATCTAATTTATTCCATGTGACTCAAATGAAGAAGTCAGATTCAATTAGTTCTCCAATCTTGTGATGGCCAGAAGAGCGCTGTCATGCATCAGATAAAGTACGCCAGGGTCTCAGAGGTGACATTAAAAGGTCCAAACTTCAGTACCTGGATCTCTGCTCACCCATCAGCCTGAGTCTGGATCTGCTCTCCCGCACCCACTGCCCCCAGGCTGGCTGAGGTCTGCTTCCATCAGAGCAGGTTCATTCCTGGCAGCAGCAGGAAGACCTGAGATGAGAGGAAGTCCTGCTCCCTCAAGCAACACCTATTTCTCTTTTCCTGGGGACCAGTGGGGTCTTGATGAGAACCCTCCAGACTCCACACGAGGGCTGAGAGGGAAAGCCCTGGCTGCTCTTTGCCTGTGTCCTGCCCGAGAGTTTTCCTCTATTATTTTTTAAATGTGTGTCTCTTTTGGAGGAGTATAACCTTCCAGTGCCCCTTAGAGAAGAGCACAGACACACCACAGCAGGAAGAGAAGTAGAGGAAAGGAAAACAATTGTCACCTGTTGAAAGAACCTTCTAGGTCCAACATGGAGCCACTCCTGCCCAGGATGCCAGATCAGCAAACTGAAACTTAGATAACTTGCCTCTCCCTGTAAATTCTGTGCTTGACCGGAAACGCAGTCTATCCAGCCAGCCAGTCCCCAACTGCCAAGAATGTGTGATGATCTCCCTGTTCTCAATAAGGTCAGATATGCAACCCCCGCCAATCATCTCAATCAAATACTCTTTCCTTATTCCCCGACTGACCTGCTGGCCTTCTAAGGAAATTGCTGAGCTCCCAGCTAATCCTACCCTGTTTCTGCATTGCTGCTTCTAAGGCTCCACAGAATTCTTTTTGCCCGAAATCCCTGGGAAGAGGGCACCACTGCTTGTGAGGCACTGTGCTCCCCAGTCCATGGGTTGTCTTCCCTTTAATAAAGGCATCACTCTCATTGCTAAATTCTGTTATTTTTGTAATTGGACACACTGAAAAGAGTATTTGGCAGGTATTTGAACAGACTTTATTAAAATCTCTGGCTGGTTATTGTCAACAGTTGTTGAGCTCTAAATGTGAGCAGTAATTGAAGAAAAATGGTTATATTAATTGAGAGAAACATAGTTTTGAATGTAGAAATGTGAAACAAAATAAAAGTTTTTTCATAAACCAGTAAACGGATGTGGATTTTTGTCTCCCAAAGCAATGTTTTCTTATTGGTGAAAATCTAGAACATAAAGAAAAATAGAAGGAAAATGGTTCACCCGGTTTCTCACCACCCAGTTGCTCACTGACTATCTTGAAACTGTTTCACGTGTCCTTTTGCCATGCAAATGTCACCATAATTGTCACTTTCTTTTCCACTTAACATTTTACCACAAATGGACTAAACATCTGTAGAAGGTATAAAAGATAGCCCTGGAATAATCTTATATCATATAGTGCATCAGAATTGGCCACCCCATAATGTGTCTCTTTGCCTTGATTTTTTTTTTTTACTTTTATTTTTTTTGAGGAAGATTAGCCCTGAGCTAACATCCATCGCCAATCTTCCTCTTTTTGCTGAGGAAGATTGGCCCCGGGCTAACATCCGTGCCCATCTTCCTCTGTTTTATATGGGATGCTGCCACAGCATGGCTTGACAAGCAGGGTGTCTGTCTGCACCCAGGATCCGAACCTGCAAACCCAGGGCCGCCAAAGTTGAGTGTGCAAACTTAACCACTACACCAGCAGATCTGCCCCTGCCTTGATTATTTTTAGGAAAAAAAGACTCTGAAAGAATCTTTGACCTTCCCTCTAACTGCCTAATAGAATTTAAGATAGAAGGCCTGTTCCAGGAAGGAGCTAATACCATAAGATAACATTGTCCACAGATGGGCCAACAAACACTCGTTTAACAAACATTTGCTTTTCCATCTCCATGTGAATTGTCTTCCTCTCCTTTGAAGTCCCAAACCACTACCCCCAACACCTTCCTTTGTC